AGCAAACCGAACTAACAAACAAACTCGAGCAAAACAAACCACTCAAACAAATCGAGCAAACCAAACCACTCAAACAAATCAAATCAAACTAATCAACAAATCACAGCAAGAGCACCTTCTAACTCCGCGTCACACTCACATGGGGTTATTTGCTCACGATGCGTTTTCCTTCGCACCGTCCTTGTCGTAGGAACCAGCCACTCATCGCAGACGTTTATCCGACTTCGTCTACCCTCAGCGCATTCAGCTCCAACGACTTCCGTTGCACCAACCTCCGAGTCGTCGTCTTCACCAGCCACCTCGCGGGACGTCCCTGCCCTCAGCGCATTCAACTCCGACGGACCAGCCACTCCTCGCAGATGTTCATCCATTTCATCTGCCCTCAGCGCATTCAGCTCCGACGAGCCAGCCACTCCTCGCAGACGTTTCCTCGCTCAGCGCCTTCAGCTCAGACGACGTCGTTTCGGTGATTTGTTCACGATGCGTTTTCCTTCGCACCGGAGTTCCTTCCAGTTCCTCGTCTCCCTGACAATCCTGGCGTGGTCGCCAAATTTTGTGCACGCGCACATGTTGTCCAGGCGTCAGGGGCCCAGCCTCCCTGCCCATCCGGCCCGCCACACACAACAACGAAACTGAACTGGGAGTTCTACATAATTTCTTGACAAGACGGAGACGGACAGACAAGAAGACCGGACACGACGAGGTAAATTGAAAACTGAAGAAAAAGACTAACATTTATGGCAGCATACGAGCATGCGCGCAACAAAACACAACGTATGACAATGACGTAACCGTTACTTGGATCATGTACAAACTATACATGCAACCAAAACAAGTCAAAGCAGAACACAAAACAAACCAAAATAAACGAAAGGACCACAACAAAAAGAGCCATGAAAAGTCTTTCTACCGATACACAACAAGGTCAGACTACCATGGAAGGACGATCATCCATTGTTGCCGGACAATTTCCAACTCTGCAAGTCCAGACTCGTCGGTCTCCACAAACGGCTCCGCAAGGATCCTGAGCTGCTCAAGTCCTACAATGACACCATCGAAGAGCAGCTGCGTACCGGCATCATTGAACCCGTGGAGACAGAAGACAGCACAGTCGGTCGAACGCACTATTTGCCGCATCATGCTGTCGTGCGAAGTGATAAATCGACAACGAAGGTGCGTGTGGTGTACGACGCGTCAGCTAAAACAGCCGGCACGTCCCTTAACGCATGTCTGAGATCAGGTCCACCACTCACCGGCAGTATTGTGGATATCTTGTTGAGGTTCCGCACCCATGAGGTCGCGCTGTCAGGCGACATTGAGAAGGCATTTCTCATGATATCGATCGCCGAAGAGGACAGGGACGTCCTGCGATTCCTGTGGTTTGACGATGTCACGAAAGACAATCCCGAGATTGTTGTATTCCGCTTCACCCGCGTTGTGTTCGGCGTCACATCCAGCCCGTTTCTGTTGAACGCAACCGTGAGACACCACCTCAGCCAGTTCAGCCAAGAAGATCCTGAGTTTGTGCAGACTCTGGCCGACGGGACTTATGTGGACGATATCAATGTGGGTGGTGAAACGGATGACGAAGTGTACATGCTGTACTTGAAATCAAAGCTTCGTCTGGCCGACGGCGGATTCAACCTACGCAAGTTTGTTACCAACTCACCTGACCTCAGACGTCGCATCAAACACAGTGAAGCCAGTCTTGCAATGGTCAGCAGCAATGGTAACTCGCAAGTCCCGAGCTCACCTGATCCAACCTATGCCGAATTGTCCCTGGGACAGCCGCAGGAGACGAGGGACTCGCTACACAAGGTGTTGGGAGTCACTTGGAACTACCAGCAGGACACCCTCATCTTCGACATGGCACAAGTGGCGCGACTCGCCAAGGAAGTGACACCAACAAGACGTCACATTGTCGGCATAGCAGCGCGCTTCTTCGACCCACTTGGCTTCCTCGCACCGGTGATCCTGCTGTTCAAACTGATGTGTCGCGATCTATGCCAGAGCAAACTGTCCTGGGACGACTCACTTGAGCCTACTCAACTTCGTCAGTGGAACAAGCTAGTCGAATCCCTCAACGGTGGACCTACCCTACAGCTGCCAAGGTGGCTGTCGTCAGCATTTGCCGACATGGACGCAGATGCCATCAGAGCGTTCTCTCTGCGGGGTTTTGCAGATGCATCCAGTCAAGCCTATGGTGCAGTCCTCTACTTGTGCGTTGACAGCGGCACTAGACGAGATGTGCAGTTCCTTGTGGCCAAGACCAAGGTCGCACCACTGACCGGGATGACGATACCCCGACTTGAACTACTAGCTGCAGTACTACTGGCGAAGCTTGTGCAATCAGTGACGACCGCACTGGAGCCTACAGTCAGTATCGAGAATGTATTGTGCTACACCGACTCGCGCGTTACGTGGCACTGGATTACCGAACAGCGTGAATGGAAGCAGTTTGTGCGACGCCGTGTTCAGGAGATACGGGAGAGAGTGCCAGCGGCAGCCTGGCGTCATTGTCCTGGCAAGGACAACCCAGCGGACGTCGCTTCCAGGGGAACCACGCTAATTGAACTTGCGCTGGACGAGAAATGGAAATGTGGGCCAGCATGGCTAAAGACATCTGACGGACAGGAAATCAGCGCTAGTAGCATGCCCGAGGAGTGCCGTGCAGAGATGAGCAGAAGAGAAATGGAAGTCGTCGACAACTCAGCCGCCTTACTGACAACGACACATCCATCGTCAGACATCGGACTGGTCATCGACTGTACCCGCTTCAGCAATTACAACCGACTTCTGAGAGTGACAGCTACAGTGCTGAAGGCCGTACAGCGCTTCAAGTCTAAACGGCAAGAGAGTGAGAGCGAACTCGCGGCTGGAGATTTAGATCTCGCCGAGAAGCTGTGGATCAACCATCTTCAACTTGCGCTCCCGTCTCATCAGCACTACAAGTCTTGGCAGGCAGAATTCGGTCTGTTTGTGGACAACGGTCTCATCCGCTGCGGTGGCCGACTCCAGAACTCTGATTTGCCTCTGACAACCAAGCACCCGTACCTTCTGCCGAAGGATCACCACGTGACTGACCTGATTGTTAATGAGTGCCATGCCCGAATGATGCATGGTGGGGTCAAAGCCACACTAACGGAGTTTCGCGCATGTTTCTGGCTAGTGAAGGGACGTCAACGGATACGTCAAATTATTCACAGCTGCAGAACTTGTCGTCGCCACAACTCGAAGCCATACACAGGACCCAAAGCACCTCCGCTACCAAGATTCCGGGTAGAGCAGACTACTCCATTCAGCTACGTGGGAGTTGACTATGCCGGACCACTACACATCCGGAACGAGAATGGTCCAGCCAAGGTTTGGATATGCCTGTTTACGTGCTGCACGACTCGAGCAGTTCATCTAGATGTCGTTAGTGAAATGTCCACGTCGGCGTTTATGTTGGCATTTCGGCGCTTGTCCGCCCGATTTGGAACACCAGCCAGTGTAATTTCCGACAACGCAGCAACTTTCAAGGCCGCAGCGCGGAAATTGGTCAACTCAAGGGTCAACTGGCTATTTAATGTCGAGAAGGCACCGTGGTGGGGTGGGATATTCGAGCGCCTAATCAAGTCGATGAAGGGCTGCTTGAAGAAGGTCATTGGCAACGCGCATTTGTCTTTAGATGAATTGCAGACTATTCTGATGGAAGTGGAGAGAACTCTGAACTCGAGGCCACTAACGTATGTATCGTCGGAAGACACCGAGGAGCCCCTCACCCCCAGCCACTTGCTATGTGGGCACCGATTGCATGGTCAGGCGGATGAGCTTGTGCCCCAAATGGACCCGGACTTTGACTTAACTCCAGGAGACGCCAACCGGCGACTGGCATACCTCGACAGCATCCTCACCCATTTCTGGAGTCGATGGCGACGGGAGTATTTGGTTGACCTTCGCGACAGCCATCGCAGCTTGCAGACTACAGCCGGAGACGCGGTGTCACTTGATGATGTGGTGGTAATTGAGGACGAGTCAGCCAAGCGATGTCAATGGAACCTTGGAAGGGTCCATGAGCTGCACACGGGAAGAGACGGGCAAGTTCGTGCCGTTACGCTTCAGATGGGTTCAGGCCGGAAGCGCCATTACTTGAAGAGACCAGTCCAGCGCCTCTATCCCGTAGAGTTGTCTAACAGTCAGCAGGTTGACGTTGAGCAGCATGAAGACGCTCCAGCACGCCGACCAAGATCGCAGAGACGCGCAGCTGCTCACGCAAATGAGATGAGACAAGCGCTGATCACTAATAACTGCATTTAATTTGGGTCTAGTCACAATTGTCCATAACTGGCCAATTGGGGGGAGTGTAGGAAATGCTCATTTCGCTAGAAAGTTCAAGAATCTATTTATTCATTTATTTCATATTTGTCTGAAGTCACTAACTAACTTACATTAAAATTACAGTCTTCTCAGATATTTATTTACCGGTTTTCATTCCGTTTGGCTATTGCAGACGCTCGTTTGTAGTGTGCGTCTCACACTACGTAACTGTTTCTGCGTACCGGTAACTTCTTCAGCGGACACAGATACGTGTAACGTGTGCACGTATAACTTGTTCTACATACGCGTGCACCCCTTTGTGTGCGCATGCTGTTCCTTTTTTGCTATGCTCTTGTAAAATGAAATCATTCTTGTTTTCGAGTTATCTGTCGTCCATTGCTTGGACTTCTTTGGAGCGAATAATTATTGAAAGGAAGAGTCAAGATGTATTCTCTTGTTGGAATAATGAGCATGAGCCTGATGTCAGTGATGAGGATATAAATTTAGTTAATCCTCCAGTTCCCACGGAATTCGTATGTTGAGAATTTCGTACACATATAAGTATATAGGCATACAAAGTACAAATAATTATTTGAAAGGGTGGTGAGGTGACAACAGTATTGAGGACTGCAGTAAACAGAACCAGCTGAAGTGACATTTTACGAAAAAAATACAATTTTTTATTCGTCTTCCTTCCCCAGGTGCACATCAGAACTGTCACCCATCGGCTGCTGCCACCATGTCCAGTTATCCTGGACAAGCGTGGAAGTGTGCCAATTGCAGAGTGCTGCCAACACATCACCCCTCTAGTGCTGTGCCGCCGCACCAGCAAACAGCTATGCCAGGCATTTACACTGTGAGTACAGTCGTCCCTCTCTAATCCGGCACTTGTTTATCCGGAACCCTTGCCAACCGGCGCACTTTCTGATGAAACCGATTTTTTTCGTTCAATTCCTACGTCTTAATCCGGCACTTGAATTCCGCCTCCGGCAGTGACTTTTTGAAACGAATCGCTCAAACTGCACGTAGTTTGATTTCATAATCCGGCAGTCCTAGGGTTCCCAGTAAAAAGGCAACGCCTGTTGGGAGTTCCCTAGTAAAATAATAAATTCTACTACTACTAGTCGACTGTGCTTGTGTGTGCAAGAGTACGTATGCATGTGAACATGTTCTCTGTTTTACTTTATCACTGTGTATATTCCTGGAGAAAAGTTGAGAATATAAAGCCGTGCACCAAATACTGGGGTCGACACGGAAAAACCCTGCGTTTTGACGTATGATACATGCATGTAATTGGGTAGGGCCGGGTCAAAGGGCAGGATTTCTTAATCCAGCACCCTCGTTAATCCAGCAGAAAATGCCGTAGCAAAAGGTGCCGGATTAGAGAGGGACGACTGTAGTAGTAGTAGTAGTAGTAGTGTGTGTGTGTGTGTGTGTGTGTGTGTGAACAAAATGAAAAAATGAAATTAGGGATTCATTGGCCGGAAAAAGCCTTGTGGCATGTACCAGGCTAAAATTGGTGGCAGTCAATTCATCAGCCTTGCAAGCTGTTGAATGGTGTAATCCTAGCACAAGTTGCTATGTCTAACATAGCTTGTTCCCTATCACCCCTTCAGCGATGGCCAGGAGTAGCGAGTTTGAGTACGAGTGTGTGTGTGTGTGTGTGTGTGTGTGTGTGTGTGTGTGTGTGTGTGTGTGTGTGTACATGTGTCTGTGCATGTGTGCATGTGTTCTTGTGTGGGCATGCTCGTGCATGCAAATGGAAGATGAGTAGATGACTGATATATCCTTACCAGCATGTTCCTGGTAGTTGATGAAGAGTACTATTATTCCAACATCCACTCACAAGACTGAATGAATAAATCCTACAGCTGTCTCAAGGTGTTTGGCCCTACAGTCCATTTCAAAACAATACGACGCGTAGGGTTTTTGAAATATTTCAAATTTGGCTGGACCTTTTTGAGAATAGTTTTCGGAATATTGCTCAGGATCGCTCCACAATTACTCTCAAATAGTTTCTAAACGATTGGATAACAGACGCCCAATTTGGAAAAATTTATGCACAAAGTGATCACAGATTTTATGTGGTATAGATGCTGGCATAACGGTTTTTTCCTAGGTACGCGTCTATAGTTTTGAAATGGACTGTAACTGATTGTCTTAGCTTAGTTATACTTTCTGAAGTTAGCTGTTCCTTCGTTGAACACATGCTTCCTGCCAAACTTGACATTTGACCGACTCACGACTGCCTCTAATCTAAGCTCGTAGTCAAAATTTGTTGATGACATCTGTTTTCCTTTGTTTCACTTTCTCACCCCACGCATTCCTGCAGATACGCCATTCGGTTCCAGAGTTGGTGCATATGCCCAAGGACGGGGCCCAAGTCTCGGCCCCCGTGCCGAGGTACATCTTTGCCCCGCCCGTCGGACAGCCAGGCATGACCCAGCCCGTGGCCATAGTCAATGTTCATCCCGCGGCGGCGCAGGGCGGCATGCAGCTGCAGGCCCACGCGCCCCACCCGGGGCCGATGTACCCCGGGGCGCCGGTGCCCCGGGGCGTCCAGATGATTCCGATCCCGATGGCCAGTTTCAACCACCACGCTGCCGCGCCCCATCAGCCATGCCAACAACAACGACCAACGCACCCGCCCACGCCACCAAGCAGTTTACACGCACTGCCTGTGCTTCAGCCAACCAGCAAGCCACCAACCAGCAGTCCTGTCGGAGCGCCAGTCACCACAGCGGCAAGACGGCCGTCGACACCGAAGAGCCATTGCTCCGTGATCAGCCACGCATCGCAGGATCAACATCACAGCCTGCAACCAGCCGACATCATGGACCTCAGCAAGACGGAAACCATCGCCCTGTTCGATCGGCTCTATGAGAAGACCGTCGAGAAGCTGCAACTAGGAGTGTCCTCAACTGTACCCAGTCTTACTGAAGGCAATGCTGCAGCTAGCTCTCACACACTGCCGGTGCTAGATCGTGTATCAGCAGCACAAGCAACACCTGAACGAATGCCCATACACCAGCCTGGTCCGCCTGAGTTGATTCGGCAGGCGCCACTGCGCTTGAGCATGGAGACTACCGACAGCGGCCGCCTCAGCCAACGTGGCAAGGCCCGTAGCGCGCGTGGCGTGCGTTCCCGCCTGCGTTCCCGTTCGCCTCTTAGCCGCGGCGCAGGGCGATTGCCATCGATGACACCGACACCGCCCTTGACAGTGATGCTCGACGAAACAGGCCCGACAGGAACTGGTGTTAAACAGCATTCTAGCGCATCAAGTCATCGTGATGGCTACACACCCTCACCACCAGCAGCAATCACAGAGAAATGGACGAGTTGCGTTGGCTGCGGAGGTCAGTCACAGTTCTTCTGCTCCCAATGCCGGATGGTATCCTACTGCAGCACGGAATGTCAGGTACTGAAACGTGTGTGTATGTGTTGGTGCGTGTGTGTGTGTGTGTGTGTGTTTGTGTGTGTGTCTGTGCATTTGTGTGCATTAACGCATGTGTGTGTGTGTGTGTGTGTTGTGCGTGCGTGCGTGCGTGCATGTGTGAGGCTGTGTGCATCTGTGCATCCGTGTTTTTGTGTTCACGTTTGCATGTGTTGCTTACTTCCGAGTGACATAAAAATTCGTACTCTAAGTCTACAAATGTTCGGCCCATTCAAATTTCGGCCTCCCAGGGCTAAAACACATTTCGGCTACAACAAATGTTCGGCCTGTACTGCTTCTGCCTGTACCTGTATACACTGTCACACTGAACCTTGCAACACAAAAATTTCGGCTGCAACACATTTTCGTCCAAATATGATCAGGCCGAAAATAGCCGAAAATAAATTATGTGAAACTCGGGTATTGAGCCAATAATAAAAGTATATAAAAAAATTATATACAATCCATTTCAAAACTATAGACGCGTACCTAGGCAAAAACCGTTATGCCAGCATCTATACCACATAAAATCTGTGATCACTTTGTGCATAATTTTTTCCAAATTGGGCGTCTGTTATCTAATCGTTTAGAAACTATATGAGAGTAATTGTGGAGCGGTCCTGAGCAATATTCCGAAAACTATTCTCAAAAAGGTCCAGCCAAATTTGAAATATTTCAAAAACCCTGCGCGTCTATAGTTTTGAAATGGACTGTAGTATCTAGTTACAGTGGTGGAGAGTTACTCTTAACTCGTTTCCATATGTCCTTTTCCTTTCTAATAAATATGTGCTGAATATTAATTTTGTTGGCTTACAGTATTTCATAGTACTATGTTTTTAGCCAATTTACTCAGTATACTGGTTTTTCTGGTCAGGTATCTGAACTGGAATTTTCAGGGTCCTGAAAAAATTCTTTCTCATGATGCAATGGACAGTTAGTCAGTAAGCATTTTTCCTTCCTTTATTATCCACAGGGAATAGTATGCAATGTCCAGGGTACTTTACTTATCTCTTTTTTTTCACTAGAAACCACAAAACTATTAGATGAAGAACATGTAGTGATGAATGATGCATTCATGTATACTCCAGTATGATAACGAGGCAGGAGTGACTCGACTTTATACTGACGTTTTACCGTACATTCCGTTTGTTTGTGCTTCACACACAGGAGAGGAGCTGGCAAATACACTGCGGATCCTGCGTCAGGAAGACCAACCCAGCGGCGCAATCCGAAAGCAATTCTCCGGGGCATGCGGGCGGGACGATGGTGAGGGAGAGGAGTCTTTAACCACCCACCGATTCGTCATGTACCACAGCAATCCGTTAGACGCGGGAAGTGTGAAGTAATGGCCATTCAGCTGCTCTCCTTCAATTGAGTTACACAGCTACTCACCCAGATGAGTGTGGTGCCGGCTTCCAAAGCTACATGTAGCTGATGCTAAACCAAAGAGTGAGTTTCAATGCCTGAACTTATAAGTTCTACAGAACAAACTTGTCGGAGAGAGGTATTGTAGTCCGGAGAGGTGCTATCTCTTGGATTGCCAATACCAGTAATGATGCGGCGTTGTTCACTAACCACCATCACCGGCCCCTCTCCCCATCCCTCCAGCTGCTGGAATTTGCCGAGGACCTCTAACCCGGGCCCAAGGAGCATGATGTACACAATACACCACGCGCAGCTGGTGTAGAGAGCTGTCGATTCCCCACCATGAACCGGTTCAAATAATTATGGTCAAGAAAAGCCGGGTTACCGACTGCAGTCTCGGGCTCTGTGTGATCAAAGGTTTCGCGGTGGTATTTCGTATTCTAAAAACTGTATACTGGGCTCACCATCGCAAGTGCTTCGACCAGGTGCCTATTCACAAGAACACGATTATATTCGATATAGTGGGCAAACAATGCGCGTGAGTGTGTGTATATATATTATGTGTGTGTGTACATGATGTGTGTGTGTGTGTGTGTGTATGCGTGCGTGCGTGCGGGCGTGTATGTACGTGTGTGGAAGCCTAAAAGGTGTGTTACGTGTCGTAGTTTGTACCATTGAGTAAGTCCTGTCAATTCCAGATTTTGAGCTGCCAACTATTTCCCAACCCTCCTCGGCTTGAAATTACTTGCTTTACACCTCAGCCTGCTCTATAAAATCATATACATCATCATCATCATCATCATCACAGACCAAATTATGATTACGAATAATTATTTCCGCAATATCAAACTTGCCCCAGTCTCTCAATTGAGCTGTTTTTTTCTTCTTCCAGCGAATATCAACAAATCCACTGTATGCGCTCTCAATGATGCTCTCTTGATATTTTGTATGGAGTCGTCTTGTTTTTTTATGTATGACATGTGATTATGGACGGCACGCTGTTATCATAGTAACGCTGGTGGTGATATGATTTCTCGATATTTCCACTCCATTGACTTACGTGTACATGATGTGTGACTAGTCACATTGCAGCCATACTGTAACTCCTGACCGAGTTGTTTAGCAGTGGAACTGCAGTAAAGCCCTGTCAAGGCGACCACCTGTCCCCGAGGACAATTACAATTACAACTGGGCTAAGAATTGCATGCATTGTGCCCCACTATTTCCTGGTTTTGTTGTTGTTGTTTCAAATCTTTGCTTCGTGTGCTGAAGTACAGTATGTCAACAGCAAACCCAAACGGTAAACAAACAGAAACGATCATTCTGACGCGACGCGAAAGTTAAACTCACGTTATTTGGCTCGCGCGTCGAAAAGCAACACGAGTGACCTGCAGCTTACGTCGAAATTTGGAGTTTTACGCCAAATTTGACGTGAAATTGGTCGTCACGTCAGAAATGATGTGCATCTCTATTCTATATAAACGAAAGCGAGAAATGGCTGTGGCCGGCGGAATGTTTGTGATAATTAACGCTAAAGACAGGCATGTCAAGATGAGAGAAAGCAATGGAGCGGACAAGTTTGAGACTGGATTAGTAGGCATTTCCCAAATCGGCTGGCCAAAAAATTTGCCGAAAACAGTGGTTTTGAAGAACTCACCGGTCTCTTCGCCAGATATGCAATTTTCGCACTGAATTCATCGAAAATCGATGTATTGGTGGCTCAACAGCACGCAAATACAATTTTTGTAGCCATTATACTGTACTGCGAAAGGTGACTGCGACTTTAGGCATTTCCGAAAACGGTTAGCAGGAAAAGGCACCGAAATCAATGGCTGTCAAGAAATCACCGATACTTGCGCCGAAATTTCAAATTTCGCATTGAATTCGCCGAAAATCGATGTTTCAGTGCTACTACAGCGTGCATGTGATTATACTGGGAGCGGTCACTTCAAGTACATGTACATGACTGTACTGCTTTGAGCCGAATTCTGATTTTGGGGCTCATAATATGGCCGAATTTGGACATTCTCTTAGCCGATCGAAAAGCCGATTAGGCGAAAAAATCAGGCCGATTTGGGAAATGCCTAGACTGGACGGGCAAGGCGAGGATCTGAGATGTCAATGACAAGTGGCGAATCGATCGACAGCAGAGGAGAAAAGACGACAACGGAGGTTGTTGATAGCCATGAGGAGAGTGAGGATGGTCATGATGCTAGGGGTAAGAGCAACGAGCTGTCTTTTAGATGTCTCAGGTGCCTCCTTGAGGCTCCTTTGCACCATGGCCGGTAGATCGTTTCAAAAATCCCGTAGCTGTGCTGATGAGGCCTATATGGCCGAAACAGATTGCTGTCTACAGGTAAACAGGAGAAGCATGTTGTTGATCTGAAGTTGTTCACTTCTGGTAGGTCTGCAAATCACGCCTGTACAGTCATAATGTCGCTACACACCGACTGTTATCACTCACTATTATAATAATGTAGCTGGTTTGGAGGTGACAACGTTGCGAGGTATGGGTCGTCGTCTCTCTGAGCCTCAGCAGAGTCGGGTCAAGTGAGCGAGCTGTACTTCCGGTGCCGAAAAGCGGGCCTTCCCCATGTCTCACCTCCAAGACGAAGTGAATACAGTCCAGCCAAACTAGCCCTTAGGCGAGGGTCCGCAGCGCCTACTCCACGGCCACCTTCCCATGAGCGACACTGACGAACGCTGCTAATACTAATGGCACCCTGGTGTCGACGAGATGTTTGTCGCGCTGGAAACGGAGCGTCCCTGTATCCCTGGTGATGTTTTGGCCTAGAGAGTACTATAATGATCACATGCGGTGATGCTCAATTTCCGGACAGCTACCGATACATGTTTCTGTTTCGCAGATGCGAGGGAACCTGATCAGTCTCTGTGCTTTTCAGGTAAAAATCAAGCATGTTCGATTGGTAGGATCCGGATCTAGATCACCCAGATCCACTGGATTCGCACATTTTCGATTGGTCTAATCCGGAGCAGGGCTGACCGCATCCAACGGATTCTTTTTTGCCAATCAACCTTTTTGGCACGAAAACTCCTCATTCGTTCGATTGGAGCTGGGAGGATCCGAATGATCCAGGTCATCTATCAGGATCCGGATGCAACCAATCGAACACACCCTTAGATATGTTCATACACAGCAGACCCGATACATTGCCAGTATGGGGGAGGGGGGATTTTAAAGGCGGAATGTCCAACCGGACCAGTCAAGATTAATGTACGCTTCTGAAGTTCTGTCCGGAAGTACGAAGCACAAGTACTTGATTCCCAGATGAGACAAGGGCCTAAAACGCACCGTGAAAGACTAACACCCAAGGGACACTGTATTTAACTGGTAGCAATTACTTGTAGTCGCATCTATCCCTCCCCTCATGGATACACACACACATACACACGAACACACACACACACGAACACATGCACAGCACAGGCAATGAGCGCATCGATATAAAAGAAAAAAAGACACTGTCACAACCTGCTTCACGACGATACACAAACACAAACACGATGAGGCTAAACAGGGTCAACTGTTTCTCCTCGCCAGCAAGAAATCGACGAAACGACAAACAACACCAGAGACTTCAACGACAAACAACACCAGAGACTTTTAAAATCAAGTCTACCACAATAGGGCTTGAAAGTGATGACGTCAAAACGGCCAGGGAGTAGTAAGTTGACATCAGATTTCTATTTTTGGATCCACTAAGGTGTGACTTTGCTATTGCCTAAGTATGTGGGTGCATAGCAACCCACTCATGTCGCATGCAGGTGTGACTTTTATTTCGCCACCAGTTGTAACCCCGCCCCCAGTAGCCAAATCAGTCAGTTTCACTGGCTACATCACCATGCTGTGGGTAAGACCGCTTGAAATGTGCTTGGACCCATACAAAAACTGGATCCAAGTGGATCCAGTTTTTGAATTTTTGAAATTGTTGCTATGCTGTGACGTAGCACTTTCAAGCCCTATTATTTTTTGTAATGACGGAGATCAGAGAGCCAGGGAAGACGACGAGGGACCACAAACGAACACAACAAACACGAAACACAAGCACACACCTGAGGGCCTCTTGATTAAACTCTCACCTCAGCTAGTCCAGCAGACACAACAGTCAGTGAAAAAGAGAGTAAGAGGTACTGTTATCTCAAGTAACGGCCAAAGCAATCGACAGCTCATCCTCAAGCTAGTGATATCGACAAGAGAAGTCGAGAGATTTACCCCGAGCTAACGGTTAGTACCTCAAGTATGGCAATTGGAAAAACCCTAATGAATCGGTCCTCCCTAGTATTGAGAAAACTGGGGGATGTGGAGGTCTACTAACGGATTGAGAGATATGCCAGACGGATAATAAATAACTTTGACGACAGAACAGGTGCTAGCACGGGCAATTCCTGCAGCTAATGCTATAATGTTTACCAATTGCATAACCCTAGTGGTGCATCACCACAAGTTGAAACAAAGCGTGTTTTTCTTAACACCGTAATTATAATAATATAAGCTGGATACTTGGAGGTGGTTGAAGACTACGCAGTGCCCAATCATCATCTGGTTAGATTTTCGAAAGGCAGTGCTTTTTAAACGTAAACATGCATGGGCTGAGTACCATCATGTCTATCTTGATAACATCCAACTATGGTGTAAGAGAATCCAGCCAAGGAGGGGACATCCAACCTTGGTGGAAGAGAATCCAGCCAAGGAGGGGACATCCAACCATGGTGGAAGAGAATCCAGCCAAGGAGGGGACATCCAACCTTGGTGTAAGAGAATCCAGCCAAGGAGGGGACATCCAACCTTGGTGGAAGAGAATCCAGCCAAGGAGGGGACATCCAACCATGGTGGAAGAGAATCCAGCCATGGAGGGGACATCCAACCATGATGTAAGAGAATCCAGCCAAGGAGGGGACATCCACTCATGATGTAAGAGAACCCAGCCAGGCATGGAGCTAACAGCACTTACGCCACGCCGTGTTCCAGGATGCGGCGCATGCACACCTCGTAAGAGAGGTCGAACAGCTGCACCAGCTCGTTGCTGTGCCAGCGCGCGACATTGTGGCGCTCGCACGGACTGGCCAGCATCTCCAGCTGCCGCCTGTGCCCGTGGGCCAGCGATCGCAGGCTACAGTGTCGCGGGTAGAGTGCGGGCTGTGCCAGCGGCGCACTCATGGGCCACTGTGCGTCCACCAGCATCCCGCCCGAGTTGAGCTTCTTCGGCACGGCAGCAGCAACAGCAGCAGCAGACTTTCCCGCCAACGCCGCCGTCGCTTGGTGCTGTCTGTTGGCGAGCAAGCGTGCTGCTACGGTCGCCGGTGATGACGAGGGCTGAGACGTCGGGCCCACGCGGCCCCGCGCCGAGTTGACCAGGTCGGCGGCCGTCACGCGCCGCGTCCTGTTAAGATGCTGGACGAGCAAGGCGATCTCCTCGTCGCTGTAGGGCTTGGTCGTGGGAAAGTTCAGGCCCTTCAGAAGCCCCGCGTTTCCCGGGCTTCTTGCGGACAGCGGGGATGCTGCGTGCAACGGTACGTTCTGTGCGGGAGCAGACAAAACACCAGGACGATGACAATGGCGACACCAGTGATGCCTAACAGTGTGAACGAACATGCTGCTCTCGAGAAATGGTCGTTAAAACGCAACTCTGAAGGGGAAGTTTTTTTTTAAATCGGAAGGGCCAGAGATCTGGAATGTGACGTGACGTCAGTATTTCCAACATAACATCAACATACTGGTCTAAAGGATTGGTCGTTATAGCGTGTGAAGATTTAACATTACGGAGTTTTGGCAAGACGAATTTCGCTTTCGTGTCCGCACTCCGATGAAAGTCAAACTCAGTGACGAAAGTCGTGTTGCGCGTGGGGATTAGAAACAGAATTCGCACACTTGCACGACGTCGTTGACAGATAGGTACATGTGTACAGAAAGTGCAGGGTAGTAAATTTATGACCGTCCCGGCACAAGTCCGCGATTCGTGTTTCGACAGCTTTTCCAAACGAAAAATGCGAAAGTTTGCAATCCAGTTCGCGAGCTGAAAATATGTTCGCTTGCACTTGAAACTCGAAATTCGTTATGCTAAACTTCTGTATCCTGGGAATTGGTAACGCTATGCCTGTGTATTGTGAAGAGCATCCCTGGATTACCAAGCAAATGAGAAGAGAATGCTGCTGGCTCAGCATTCATCATCTACGGCAACAATTGCAACGTGCTTGTTTTGTTTGTCAAGGAGCAGCACCCAGTTACGAATTGGCAATCACCGTTTCTTTCCTGTGTGTTCGCCGCACCAGAGTCTAAGCCGCGCACTCCTCCTCCAAAATTCTTATTCGTGTCGACGCTCGCTTCCCTTTAAGTCCGCTTCACAAGACGGTGAGAGAAGGAGTGATTCTAAGCCAGACTGTAACTTTTCAATTCGGAGAGCGCATGTGTGTGTGTGTGTGTGTGTGCATGTGTGTGTGTGTGTGTGTGCGCATGTGTGTGTGTGTGTGTGTGCGTGCGTGCGGGTGTGTGTGTGTGTGTGTGTGTGTGTGTGTGTGCGCGCGTGTGCGTGTGCGTGCGTGTGTGTGTGCGCATGTGTGTGTGTGTGTGTGTGTGTGTGTGTGGTGTGTGTTTGTGTGTGTGCGCATGTGTGTGTGTGTGTGTGTGTGTGTGTGCGCGCATGTGTGTGTGTGTGTGTGTGTGTGTGTGTGTGTGTGTGTGTGTGTGTGTGTGTGTGTGTGTGTGTGTGTGTGCGTGCGTGTTAGGTGGCCTGCGCTTACAGCCATTTTGGCAGATGTGTCTTGACCGTCATTTGCTGCACACGGACTAAACGGGTGCTTGCTCACAACTCCTCTCGGGCCGCCCGACATTCTGCCCAAAGGCGGCGAAGCAAAAGTACGGAGAATTTTCAACGTCCGAACGCTGACGCTTACCTTTCCTATTTGAATAACATGCGCACGGCCACGGAAAACGTATGTAGAAGCGTACGCAGAATGAGACAACCTTGCGTATGTTCATTGTCAATGCCAGTCAATAGAGTTCTGTCCATTAGGAGCTTGCACTTGAGTACTTTTTGAGGTCCTTCCGTCTCTTGTTTTTTTTGTGCATTTCTTCGACTTCCAAGCGATATCTCACTATGAACAAGCAGAAAACTCCGCAATGGCACCTGAAGGCCTTTACAACCAGTGCAACACTAATGCACACCCATGTCTACCTTGTCCGGAACGGCCCGGGACCAGGTATTGCCCGTAACTTGGAGATGTCTGCAACTCGGAATCACGTACGTTTTGAAGCCTATTTTAGGGCCAGAATATGATGTCAGTATTTCCACAAAGTAAACGGTAGTAATATTTCTAGTAAAAGTGACTCGCAGGGTACCTGGTAGACCCAGGCGCTCGTAGCTTGGTGGTCCGCACAAGGGAGGCATGAGTGCGCATGTACATGCACAGTCAACCTTACGTACAACGACACTCGGCGGGGCATCAGAAAAGTGTCCTCATTCGCAAACTGTCCAAATACCCGAAGTCTCATTATACGTATTGCAGTTAGATGGGACTTTGCTCTGGACGTGGAAATTCTGTCGTTATTCGCGATTTGTCGTTATTGTCGTTATATCTGCAGTCGTTATTAGCAAAGTTGACTGTACGTATGAAGGCTCAGATACAGACAGGGAGTAAGCAATGGCGTCAATGTCAGCATTGGGCAGCAAGGGCGCCACCTTACCTTGGCTGCTGCAGGGCCCGCACTGAGGTGCGTTTTGAAGCGCTTCGCCCGGGCGCCGAGCCCTCTCGAGTACTGCTTCCGGTGTCCACGCGCAGCGCTGCTCTGCTCCGACCTGCTCGGCTCCGATGATAGCAGGTCTGGACTCACAGTTTCTTTGCGCCCGTGGTGATCCTCCGGCTCAGGAAAGTAAGCTGGGTAAGCTGGGTCGTCATCTTGCAAGTAGGACGGGCTCGGGCTCTGCTGCTCGCGAGGCAGTCGACGGTGTTCGTGCTGTTCCGAAATGTGTCCTCCTGTTTGGTGAGGCGGTGCGGACATCAGAGGCGCCCCTGCGGACAGAATTCCGGAGTCGGACGGCGAGGGGAAACCTGCGTCCCGCTCCAGAACGTCCTGCCGGCGAGCCGTCTGCTGCCTTAGCGTAGGATCTCCGTACGGCTGCGGTGGCAGAGACAGTGGCGGAGGCATCATCGGTTCAGGCCGTTGGGTACTGGTGAGCATAGGTGCAGCAGACATGTACTGCGCGACTTGAGGCGTGTTTGCACCCGCATAAGTCCCCTGCACGCTGGTGCTTGATTGTCTGCCGGGCGGATGGGGAAATCCCCCTATACCCGTGGGAGAGTCGGAAGAGTATCTGCTGAACTGCTGGCGGGACTCCCGGAACTTATCCCGCAGAAAATCCCGGGTTGCAGTCTCGGACTCGAGCTCCTCCAGCCGCTCCATTCGACCTTTCTTGGTCAGGCGTGCCTTGGTCTTATCGGCTCCTGACTGAGATGTCTCGTTGGCAGAGGACCCCTCGTCCCGTTCCTCTTCGTCCTGGGAGTAGATGCAGGTCAGAGGCACGACGCGGTGTCTCAGGACCCCACCAGGGGCTGGCGAGTCGGCGGTACTGGCATCCATTCCCGGTATGACGAACTGATCGTCGTCTTGTGCACGGCGAGGGACCAAGCTGTCGACGGAATCACCCGGAGACACTTTGCTCTCCGACCGTGATGTGGATGATCTAGTTGACGCTGTCAGCAGTGATGAGGCTTGACCGCTGGCCACGTACGTGGGATCGACAGGCGATCTGCTACGGCGATTAGCTTGGGTGGTGCCGTCATCGGGACTCTTGCGCTGCCAACCTTCCCCTCGCTGATCGGCGCTAGACTGCGAGATGTGTCCGTCCGTTTCCGTTTCCGCCCTGACCGACGACGCTCGGTGGGACGCATCGTCGTTCCAGGGCCGCACTCCGTGCGTTGGGTGGAGACGTTCTCGACCGACGTACCGTTTTGAAACCGGTTTAAAAGCTGAGCGATGTGTCTCTTCAGTACTTGCCGAGGGCTGCAGCGGTGAAGGTCTGGCAGTGTGATCACTGGATTTATTAGCCGCAGCCGTCTCAAGTCCACGAACGGGTGACAGGCGCGGCGGTGCGGGACTTGGGGCGGCAGACGACCTTGAACCGTCTTCCACCACCGCAGCGCTCGGTTGGAACGCGCTGCCGCGGACACCGGCAACACCGCCGCCGCTGCTACCATGGTGACGCAGAGATGACTGACTTGCTGCCGCTGGGCTCTGCCCGGCTGCGCCACTGTTCCACGCTTGAGGCAGGCGGCTGCGACGAGCGCTCGGCGTCTCCGAGTCCGAATTCGGTGGAGTGCTCTCGTCGGAGGAGCCGTGCTGCGCGGAATGACGTTCTCCGCTGGCACGACTGTGCGTACGGGCGCCAGGCCCCTTTGCGAAACACTGCTTGTAGAGTGTTTCGCTGGCCACGGCCGGGTCGAAGATGATCAGATCGTCGTCCGAGTCGCCGTTGCCGGCGGCACTCGGCGTGCTCGTCATGGCAACCTGTCCCGGCGCGGCAGCTCTGCCAAACGGCTGACTGATGGGAAGCAGTACTGGACTGGTGGGTTGCCGATGCCTCGGCGGGTGCCACGCGCCGCCATGCGTCCTCCCACCTTGGCCCGGCGTTTGGAGCTTCGGGTCATGCCGAGCAGCACCAGCGTAGTGGACAGTGGTATTGACTCCCGTGCTACTGCCAGCGCTCCCAGTGCTGCTCATGCTGCTCGTCCTGTACATACCCTGTTGCTGGTTGAACGCGGCGGCCGCATGCCGGTTTCTAGCGTACGCCGGCTGTCGTGATGGTACGGGCTCGCGACGCTTGTTCACGTCGTAGCGCTCGCCGTATGGTGAGTACATCGGTGGAGGTAGTGAACCACCGCCTGCCGAAGCCTCCTCCCTCTGGAGTGCATGTCGAGATTGACGGCCTACTGAAGCCTCCTCCCTCTGGAGTGCATGTCGAGATTGACGGCCTACTGAAGCCTCCTCCCTCTGGTGTGGGTGTTGAGACTGGTGGCCTACCGACGCCGCTCTCTGGTGTTCGCGTCGACGTTGGTCGATCTCCTCCTGGTATTCATGCCGAGGTACGCCGATGTCCTTTTGGTATTCACGTCCGGGTTGATCACCTGATATCCCCGTCTGGTATTTACGTTCGGGTTGGTTGCTTGCGGACATTTCCCTTCGGTGTTCACGTCGAGGTTGGTTGCTGGACGTCTCCCTCTGATATGCACGTCGAGGTTGTTCACCCGACGTCTGCCTCTGGTGTTCACGTAGAGGAGGTTGGTGCTGTGGCACGGACGACGCGTACGCGGACTCCCTGCCGCGCATGATCGGCGGTGCGTGGACACTTCTGGGCGCCGTCCTGGCGGTCATGCCCCTGCCCGTGTCCCTGCCCATGCTCGCGTAGGCGAGCGGCGCTTGCATCTGAAGAGATATACAAAGCACACGTCACACAAACACTGTCACGTCAAGTGCAGCCTGGATCCAGTGCCCTCCACCCCAGGCGAATGATATGCACGGTCTAAAGACTACTACGGTAGGTTACATCGTGACGTCCTAAGAATAAGTAAAGTGCAATAAAACCTGTCATGGCGACCACTCGGATAAGGCGACCACCTTTCCTAGAAGACCACTGAAACCAGGACTAAGGGATGCTATTTCCAGCCAAATGACCCTGGATAAGGAGACCACCTGGTGGTAGAGACCACATCAAGAAGGTCCCTTGAGCGGTCGTCTTAGACAGGTTTCACTGTGCTGTCGGGCACCGAAGAACGGAGCGCCGAAGAACGACCAGGCTAGAATTTTCACCTAGCACAGCATGCCAGTGTATGCACGGTGACTCAACTCTGCATAGACTGTAATACATGAAAAATACGACCGGTCTAGGCTAGGAGGCTGACCCCTCAGTTCTTCGGCGACCTACAGTGCAGTACAGTGGACCACAGACAAGACGTGCTCCGAACAATGTCCTTAATAAGCAAGTTTATGTATTATCAGAGGTCCTTATTATCTCAACATACACTCCAATATGGATCAACACACCCGTGATCCAGGCAATGACCGTACTAAGCAAGTGTATGTATTATCAGAGTACGTACTACCGACGTGGACATGGAAATCCGGTCGGAGGTCTAGCGGCCCCACGGCCAGGACTTTTACCACCGACCGACCACCGCCTCAAATGCGTTCTCCATCTGACCTCGACAAGTTGCCACAGCACACCATCGGCAGAGCGACACATTCGATGCAACTCAGTTCCTTCACACAGCTTTGCTGACAGTGTGCTATGGCCACATGTTGAGGTTGGCTGGAGAGCGCAGCTAGCGTTTTTTTTTTCTTTTTTCTTTTTTACTATTTCACATTCCCAGCTCATGTGGTGGTTGATGAAACCAACCTGCACAAGGTCGAATGCACCTGCTTAGTGTAATAGGTAGCCGAGTGGAGGCACGGTGCTTAACTCAAATTAACTTTCTATTCTTCCTCAGGTACACACCTGGATTATTATGTAATAAAAATAAATATATGGAAACAGAAATGCGCAGCAGCTTTTATAGGCAACAGACCACATACGCTAACGTACGGGGATACGCTAACGTACGAAGATACGCTAACACGGGGATACGCTACAATCAAGCAAGGCATGGATACTACACCCTCCCTTCCTACAGATAATCACACCCTCGTGATTTTCAAAAATTAGCGAAGAGTTATGAACACAGCGTCAACCGGAAAATGGCAAATTATATCGGAAATGATAACGTTTGGAGTAGACAGAAGAAATGAACTGATAACAAATCATAAAATAGAAGTAAAAGTACACCCGGTTCACACGATCTCTCGGAGTCAAAAGGGAAAGAATTGTCCTCCAAACAGGACGTGAATGACAGGCCAAATTGCTGCACATCGCTGCCTCAAACTGCCAGGAAAATTCACAGTTTCAAAAAAAGGCACTGCATCGTGGGAACTTACTCCGATACACACCTGGAGTGTAAAAGGGGATTCTCACACACTTCTCTCACAAGGTTAGTTAGTTAGGCCGTGGCTCACCATGGTCGGACGCCTACCGAACTAAACTGGATTCACACACTCGCGTAAAGGAAGACTGAAGAGAACAGGGAGACTGAAGGAAGACAGGAAAGAAAATGCCATACCTGGAATCAGCGTTAGTAACCTCGGCGGCTAGGAAGACCTCTGCGAAAGTCCCTGCATTGATGTCCAAGTGTCTTCCTGTGAGACAGCGTGGATATAACATGCACGATGCAAAGAAAGCGACCTATCACAACAAGACGAGCGAAATCGATGGTTGGAATGTGGCATCATAGGAGATGACAGTGATGGCGAGCGAAACTGACATACCACTTGGTCTAGCCAGGAAGAGTGTTGATGAAAATCTGCATTCCACCACGGAGACGAAGTACCAAGTGAAGAGTGGACTCCTGCTGAATGTTGTAGTCACTCAGGGTTCAGCCGTCTGCCAACTGCGTGCCAGAGAAAATCAAACGCTGCTGGTCTTGGGGAATACCTTCCTTGTCTTGGTCAGCAGCCTGCCTGTCGTCGTCCTCATCAGCTTCGCCATCACCACCGGTAGTATACATGTAGGTAGCGGGTCGCTTGGAATCGCCATCGGAGTCTCCAGTGTGTGCCGTGCGGAGAGAAGGGTGATCCACGCTAGCACCCTGACTGTGTTGCAGGCTAATAAGCAGGGCCAGGCCCAGGAAGGCAAGAAACAAGATTCTGATCTTGATTAGTCGCACGGAGCTGCAGCGGGTTGAGCCATGGTGGTCTGGGGTCGAATCACGTTGTTTTATTAATTTTTTAAACACACCGCTGGCACCAATATAATAGGTAGCCGAGTGGACGAACGGTGCTTACTCTAGGGATACTACACTTAGGGATTGGGGTAAGAAGCAAGTGAAAATGGAAAGTTGTCACAGTGAATCAGCTGCCGTGGCGTTCCCGCCAGCATAAACACGGGAAAAGTTTCCCACCACTTTGCAGGCCGGCGGAACCCAGATTCCGGCGGCATGTGGGAGCACCTTTGATATGCTTGCACAGCATGATCGGTCTTTTCTCTTCAGCCTCTTTCGGTGTCACTGCATGCTTTTGAGTTGACTGCTTGACTGCCAACTTCTTTTATCATGCAGAAGTCATTGTTCGACTCCGCAATGGAGAGGGAGCTCATGGAGTTGTATGTGGTGATTGTTGCGGGCTCTGCAGGCAAAACGTTGACTGCAAACGAGAAGCACTCTGAGATCCGTGAGCAGATGAATGCAAAAGGCAAAACCCTCGGCTGGCCCACACCGGATGCCACAAATATCGACAACAAGCTGGACGGATTGAAGAAAATCTACAAGACGTTCCGGAGTAGGACAAGGACTGGCGATCCAGTTGTGAAGATGATTTCTACTGCTTTCAAAACAGTCACAATATCTGAGATGATATATGAACACTGTTTGTGTGAGCACAGCTACCGACAGACCACCCGTGTCCCCAAAACTATCAGAAGGCAGAACTATTGGTGTGCCCGCCGAGACATCAGCCACCAGTGTTGCTGGCGCCCCCCCCCCCCCCCCCCCCATCCATCACAGCGTCCCCCTCTTGTTTATTCTACCATTGTACAGCGTCGCCGCCGATCGTCGGGCTCCGAGTCCGAGGTTGGGTCTCAGCTTGAGCCTGGTCGGAAGCCTGCTAGAAAGACAAAAAGGAAATGGGAAGACCACACTGCATCTATGATAGATGCCGTTCTCGACTCCCAGGGGCGCCAAATACAAGCCGCATAAGAGCAAGGGAACAGGAGGAGTTTCAAGAGCGCATGGAAGCACGCCAACAAGAGAATAAAGTTCAGCAAGAAAGAGAAAGAAGAGAACAGGAAGATGGGTGCGCCAAGGAGAGACGGGAGGAGGACGACCGAAGTGAGCGGGAAAAGCGGGAGTATGACGAGAAGAAGACAAGGGAAGAGACGGAGCACCAGGAGAACGCAAAGAGGCCAGAGAAGCAAGAGCTTCTGAAGTGCGTATGGATGAGAAGGCAGTCAATGCCCAACACCTTCAAAGCCTGTGGCGGAAGTAAAACCAACTCATTACCTCCCTCATCCCCCCCCCCCCCCTATCTCTTGCCTCCCATATATTTTTTGCTATACCTGAGCAGTCAAATATTCCTGCTCCTTAGGGCTATATTGACTGCTTATTTGACTCCTTTCCAGGGATTGAACGCGGCTTGGGTTTGTCGTGATAAATATAATATTGACTTCATACTACTAGGTCAATATAGGGCTCCCTGATGTATTCTTCCCAAGCGGTGTTCTTTTTCCAAACCGGTCCAAGTGCCCCCAACCGGGTCGTTGACCGGGCTGACCCGGCTCTGGAGCAGAAACGGAGTCTCCTTGGCAGGTTTCACCGTACTCTGCTGTTTGCATTGGACACTGAGTTCAGCTAGTGCTCAAGGAAACCCGATTGAGTGAAACTGAGCATGCATTGAGCACGCACAGGGCAGTGTGCAGCCCCAGATTGTGCACACTGACACGGTTTACTGTAATGGGATGCTTTCACTTGAGCTTGGCCAGCAATACTGTAAGTCTAGAAATGTTCGGCCCGTTCAAATTTCGGCTTCCCAGGGCTAAAAGCCTAAAGCCCATTTCGGCCGCATCAAATTTTCGGCCTGCACTGCTGCCGCCTGTATACACTGTCACACTGAATCTTGCAAAACACGTTTTCGGCCAAATATGACCAGGCCAAAATAGCCGAACCGTTGGTTAGCGCTATCGAGCAGTGCTCAAGCTGACTTTCATGCCGTGGAATGTCTCCGTACTCCTTGTCAGTTTTGTGCTAGATTGTGGACGTCTGACTGTTCAAAATCTGGTTTAGTTGGTGGACTCGATCACATAACTTGTGCCCACATTTTCCCATGTTAAAAATAAAATACGCGCCGAATATTTTTTGATTTACAGTACTGGCTAGTACTGCATGCTACATGTATCTCTCAAAGCAGCTGATTGGCTGTTTCCATGGCTCTGGTCATGTGACCCCTGACAGATTCCTTACCCCATGGCCAGGCGAAGGGCTGGCACACATCTGCCCGCCGGCTGTTGGTAGCTCGCTTTTGTAGCAGCTGTCCGGCATCTCGTAATGCATCTGCTCACCGATGGCGGCAGTGTGTGCGTTGCTCGGAAATCGGGGGCCAGGGTCCTGGCGGTGTTGCTGGTCCCGCTGATCAGTGTCGCCAGGACCTGTAACCCGGATCTCCTGGCCCTCGCGGCCGACGAAACACTTACGACACTGCCAGCGGCCCGGCTCTTTCAGGTACTGGTCAATGATTGGGGGTGAGTGGCAGAGCTGATGGTACACTGCAAGCAAGAGTGAAAGGAAGAGAGTGAGAGAGAGTGAGTGTGTATGTATGTATGTGTGTGTGTGTGTGTGTGTGTGTGTGTGTGTGTGTGTGTGTGTGTGTGTGTGTGTGTGTGTGTGTGTGTGTGTGTGTGTGTGTGTGTGTGTGTGAGAGAGAGAGAGAGAGAGAGAGAGAGAGAGAGAGAGAGAGAGAGAGAGAGAGAGAGAGAGAGAGAGAGAGAGAGAGAGAGAGAGAGAGAGAGAGAGAGAGAGAGAGAGAGAGAGAGAGAGAGAGGAGAGAGAGAGAGAGAGAGAGAGGGAGAGAGAGAGAGAGAGAGAGAGAGAGAGAGAGAGAGAGATAGATAGAGAGAGAGAGAGAGAGAGAGAGAGAGAGAGAGAGAGAGAGAAGACGTAGAGTGAGAGAGGGAGGAAGAGAGAGGAAGGAAGGAAAGGAGAAGGGAGGGGAGGAGGGAAGGGAGGGGCAGACCATTTCTCTTCAATTATTGGCAAAATAGCCATTGATATACAGGGATAACCGATATAAGAGCTTTATCGACTAGTATGTGCAAATGCTTACGTGCATCACAGCCGTTGCAAGCTACAAGCTTGTTCTTTGCGTCACCCTTGCTGCTCTCACACACCGTGCACAAATCGCAGACTGATGCTGGGGCGTCCACTGCACACAAAGGGTGACCAATGATGCCCTGTCTACAATAATTATACGTATGCAGTACTAGTATGACTGTATAGACACACACACCTCAGACCCCAGACATGCCCATCGCGGAAGCGTTGATAGCGAACAGCTATGACAGACACACACATTCGTGCACGCACGTACAAGCATGCACACACAAGCATACACACACGCACCTCCCCCCCCCCCCCACACACACACACACAAACACACCCACCCACCTAATATTAACCCACGTTTTTTGCCATGCAGCTACTTCAGTACATGTACTTTTTCTTGTAACAGATGAGCAGCGGCTCACCCCTCGCCAAGTTGCAATGAAGCCGAGACCCTATGGTCGGTCAAGCTGGCCCTGCCTCTCCCGAACTCCTGCCATTACATATGTCTCATTGCTGCCTTGCTGCTTTGTGCCGTCAAATGGTGTTTGTTTTTTTGTAGAAAAAAAGAAAAAAGAGGCAACGTACAGTGAAACCTGTCTAAGACGACCGCTCAAGGGACCTCCAAACATGGTCTCTGCTGCCAGGTGGTCTCCTTATGCAGGGTTGTTACGCTGGAAATAGGAGGAGCTATGAAGCCGAGACCTCTGGTCGGTGGAGCTTAATGGGCCCCACCACCACACTCCATTATTCACCCCAGTGTCTGGAAATATGTGGATTTTGTAGAAAGAAAAAGAAAAGAAAAAGGAAGAAAAAAAAGCATCCCTTGGTCCTGGTTTCAGTGGTCTTCTAGGACAGGTGGTCGCCTTATCCGGTGGTCGCCTTGACAGATCTGACTGTACACCAATGAAAACGAATGGAGGCACACACAAGGCTTTTCGTTCCCCTGTACTGGCCGCCGTGGAGCGATACCAATTACAGGCTTTCAGAACCGACGGTGAACTTGAAGTGGACTCCAAAACTGGTCCTGTTCGGAGCAAGCTCAGCAACACCAAAAATGGAAACAAACTATCTGGCAACTTGGAGGCAACGGGCCTAAACAGAGGAGGGCCTCGGCACAAACTTCAACATACCAGCTTCTTGCAACAAGAATATTTCGAGTCAATGATCCACACTGATGATCGGTTTGTGTCCACACCGCTTTGCTGTCAAGCTGTTCCGAAATGGAGAGGTCTCCTCTACCATAGCCGCTCGTTGGTTTAATGATTCCTTCTGCTCTACACGTGAACAGACTTAGGGCTGTACTCATGGTTAAGCTGGCTGGGGTGGTACGATTTTTAGAGCGTGGACATGATTCTAGTAGTTTTCTGTATCACATACATTTATTCCCGTAGCTATGCAGAAGACGTTACTTCAGTAACGTCTGGCGCTAGCCAGGGTCCACACAGCTCTAATTTGGTATTTGTGTGTTTGTTTGTTTGTTTGTTTGTTTGTGTCACGCCTGGCGCTATCCCGTACCTGTCCCGTACCGTACCATCAAACACAGCTGGCCACATACAGCTGGCCGCAATATTCAAAAAGGGCTTTCAAACACAAGACCATAACGTGAAGCAACTTGGAAGAATGGGTATGAATGCGAAGTGTATGGGGAAATGCATGTAGGGCGATAGTGCGGGTTCGAATCCCAGGATACGCCTGAAAAAAATAGGAGAATTGAAAAATTTATAACATCCCTATGCTTTTTTGCCGTCATCAAGGTGGTAGACGGTGTCGCATTACCCTCGGTCGTACCTGTCCCGTACCTATCCCGTACCGTACCATCAAAGACGGCTGGCCACAATGCATATTCAAATAGGGCCTTCAAATGCAAGATCATAACGTGAAGCAACTTGGAAGAATTAGCATGTATGCGAAGTGTATCGGGGGATGCATGCAGGGCGCGCGATAGTGCGGGTTCGAATCCCAAGTTATGTCTTAAAAAAAAAAGGATTTTTTTAAAGAATTTATAACATCCCTATGCTTTTTTTTGTCTAGGTCATCAAGGCAAAAAAAAGCATAGCGTAGGGCCCTGAGCTTCCAAGCTCTCTCGTTTATTTATCTATTTATTTATTCAACATCTTATGGCTTCCGATGGTAGCCAAAACGGGAAGATGTGGGTGATAGCTACCCATGGTACATGTACATGCACGTGGCCACATGGCCATGCACATCTCTTCTGACTGTGAAATTCTATGACTATCCATTAGTAAAAACGATGCCAAAAGTGCCCAGAACACAGGATTTTGTCTCCTTTTTTTTTTACAAAATGTTTGTGTGTGTGTGTGTGTGTGTGTGTGTGTGTGTGTGTGTGTGTGTGTGTGTGTGTGTGTGTGTGTGTGTGTGTGTGTGTGTGTGTGTGTGTGTGTGTGTGTGTGTGTGTGTGTGTGTGTGTGTGTGTGTGTGTGTGTGTGTGTGTGTGTGTGTGTGTGTGTGTGTGTGTGTGTGTGTGTGTGTGTGTGTGTGTGTGTGTGTGTGTGTGTGTGTGTGTGTGGTGTGTGATGCCATCGGCATAATTTTTCTCTTTTCAGGAAGCTCACCTCCCCAACTGTTTACATTGAGGGTGAAGTACCAGTAAATGTTTTAATCAAATGCTTCATAGCAGTAGTCTTCATTGCGTTCTCTCCCCCCCCCCCCCCCCCCCCAACCTTGTAGCCCCCTCAACAAATAATTAGGCTCATTTTAGGAGGTTGGAACTTCCAGGCTCCATACTGCGTATACCACCGCCGGGACGCATGCAAGCAGACACCACAACGGGAACTGCATTATACCATCACTCCATCACGCACTCACCCGGAAAAACGTCTGACTCCGGAGCTGTATACCTGGTTTTGTCCTCAAACGCCACAGCATACGATAACTCCTTGTCGCCCTGGGGTCCTCGAACGGACTTCACCGTAGCGAAATACACCCGTCCGTCCTTTCCCCAGCGCACGAGGACCTCGTCACCGACTCGGAACCGAGCTGCCGTGCTCCGAGATTTGCTGCCCGCGCCTCCGACAACACTAGGACGGCTGCTTACTGCGGACGGATTCATGCCAGCCGAGCTACGACTGCGAGTAACGTACCCGGGACAGCCGCTTGTGCTCTCGACAGAACGAGAATCGCTCGTCCCTCGCTCTGGCTCGCTACGGCCTGTCGCGGCCACTGGGTGGCTTTCGTCAGACCTTCTACGGACCGACTCCACCGCCACTGCCGAGAGATTGCGCTGGCGACTGGTGGTGGTGCTGCTGCTACGCAATTCCCCAGTGCGCCTGATGCGCTGTGGGTGCGAGTGCGGGTCTCGCTCTTCATCTGTCTCTTCGGAACTGGAGCGGTCGACATCGGCCATGATTCAAGCCAATGAGTTGCCGAGTCCAGGCCAGACAACGCGGCAGTCGGGCCAGAGCAAAGCTCGCTCCGGGGCCAAAATAGAAAGTAGTTCGAGCGTGCTGCAGACAGCGTTTCAGACAGCAGAAGTTATCATACTGTCACCTTTCAGCGGCACCTACTGAAAACGCTAGCTCTGGCCAGGCATTGATCGGTCTAGACCGTAGTCACTCTTAGATCTACAGTCAGCACACTCTACTGCATGCACCGCGATAGACTGGTTTTTGGCACACGCGCGCGCACAAGCGGATATTCGGCTCGCCAAGTCTCCAGCTACATCGTGTGACGCGGCCAGGTCTCTCCGGACTGGCGCTCAGTCACCGAGACAAACGGAACGCCAGTCTGCGGCGCACCACCACGGCACTGCATGCAATGCATGCACTGCAGAAAGTACAGTACGAAAAGCACGTCGCGAAAGACTGGGCCCACACAAACACAAACCCACCCGAGGGCAGTGCAGACTGTAGGCCTACTACTCGGACTAGACAAAGCTAAACTCTCGACTCTAGTAGATGGCCACCCTGGCAGGTCTGAGCTCATGAGCCTGCACGACAATCGTTTTCAGAGAACACGGCTTTGTCTTGACTTGACTCGGCTTGAGTACACCACTTCACGACTTCATTAGATCTGCCCAGACATTGACAAGGATCTAGTCTGCGCACACCTCGCATCAGCCAGGTGTGGACCTTGGCGCGCAGTGTGTAGATTTCAATGCACACAGTGTCGCATCACCGGCATACCACCAGAGCTAGAGAGAGGTCCAGAGTCTGTCGCCCTCCACAGGAACTCTAGTCGCGGAGCCAGTGCTTCTCTCGTGATAGCTGAAAGGGACAGTCACACGTCAGAGGCGACTACTACACTATACTAGTGGAGTAGTGCTACTGTACTGAGAGGAAAACTTTTTGACAGCGCACGCGACAAATCCAATCAGTCAATCTTGGCTCCGACTGAGACTGAGAGTCCTACTCGACTCGTCGTCCAGCTAACTCCAGGTTCAAGCAGACCCTCAACACCAGCAGAGTGCACCGCCTCAAGCAGCTGTATCGCCGCAGGATGCATGGCGTGGTGGTGGGACGGTGGAATCACATCCGTGATCTTCTGCTGGCGGCACAAACGAGAAAAGGCTGTCGAAGAGAAGCGAAAAGTAAGATTACATTGGCTGTTGACAGTTTATAGGTAAACTTGCCAGTATCCAAACTCGAAAGCTCCAGATGGCTTCCTTCACAGTTCAAGCGAGAGCTACTTAGTACATCGTGTGCTAGAAGGGACAGAGAGTCGGCAAGAGCAGCCAAGTACCTGGTTCCTACAGTTCAGAACGACAGTCAAATCTCTGCCGACGAAGACCCAGGCTCCAGTGAGACAGACAGAACACATGCGCTATCTAGCTGCAGCCGCACTGCGTGTCTATCACCATACATGTACATTGTGTACATGGCGCTGCCAACAATCATCGTGTCGCCAACGCCTGGACAATCATACACTGATGTACGTACAGTCGATGCAGTACAGTCAGTGTCATACAGAGCATGCAGCGCATCTACCACAGCATGCACCAGCGCCCAGTATGTAGCTAGCATGCAGCTGTATGCGGCTGTACATCATGCACCAAGTGACAAGTCACCTACCGGTAGCTTCACGAATCCGCCGCCAACACTCGACACTGCACACTGTGCACAGTCTTATCCTTGGTCGCCACCGCTGCTGCCATCACATCCGCGTCCATGAGCACTCGTACTCGCCAAGTAACAACACTCAACACAAGTATCTTCACAAGTCATCCACAGACCGTGCAGTGATTATGTATGATGATTATGTGCACGACTCGGATGGTCACAGCCGTCGCCAGTGTCAGTGAGTGTGCCCACCAAATCTGCACAAGCCCTGGAATAGTTGTATTGAAGTAACTAACTTTTGTTGAAGACGCCCCACACTGAGTCTGGGCGGTGCTGGGAGCCAGGGATCCGATACCCTGGGGGCCATGTCCTGGTTCTAGGTTGAGGAGGGGGGGGGGAGGAGGGGGGAGGGGACACACACACGCGTACACACTCACACAGACTGTCAGTCACAGTGACACATACATGTTACATGTACGCTTGTACATCACACACACATACACACACACACACACACACACACACACACACACACACACCATTGGACCATAGGACGCCCATCGCCGGAGGCGATGATTGCGATGTTACAGCAGAAGCCATAGCAGCTTGTGCTTCACACACACACACACACACACACACACACACACACACACACACACACACACACACACACACACACACACACACACACACACACACACACACACACACACACACACACACACACACACACACACACACACACACACACACACACACACACACACACACACACACACACACACACACACACACACACACACACACACACACACACACACACACACACACACACACACACACACACACACACACACACACACACACACACACACACACACACACACACACACACACACACACACACACACACACACACACACACACACACACACACACACACAATACAATACAATACAATATGCCCATCCGGAGATGGTAGCAGGTCCCGAAGGGACCAACAGTGTTCAAGTCACGAGCAGAATCGGGCGTGGCGAGTCAAGTCCTGGCGACGGCGATAGCGCTTTCCACAAGTGCAAACGAAGTCTAAGGTGTCGGGCTCGGTCGGAGGAATGGTGCTGCATGCTGATCTCCATTCTCTGCGATCCTGGGCGAGGTCGTACCAGTCCGCTATCTGGCGGTCCTTCATGTCGGACACAACATTGTCCCGCTCCCGGGGCCCATGACGTGGCCGGGTCTTGTCCAGTTCGCCGAAGAGGATACACTTTGGCATACGGGAGTCATCCATTCGAGCAACATGGCCTAACCAGCGGAGTCGACGCGTTTTCACACACACACACACACACACACACACACACACACACACACACACACACACACACACACACACACACACACACACACACACACACACCTACACACACACACAGACACCACACACACACACACAAACACACACACACACACACACACACACACACACACACACACACACACACATAGTCATACTGCGGTACAGAGAGACAACTACTACTTACTACAATGTAGTAGTAAGAGGTTATCCTCTCTTTTTTCCCTCTTACTGACAGGGCAGTTGTTGGCCTTTATCAATGCTGGTTTGGGAGCTTGTACACCATTGTGAACCTGATGAAGGCAATTTGCCGAAACGTTGGAATGATTAATGTGAAGTGAGTGTATTGCAGTGAAAATGGAAGAGAGCGTGTAGGCTGAGCTCTGCTCTGGACTGTTTATGAAACTGCAGGAAGCCTCCCCACTTTCACTTACTGGTAGTACTTTGCCAGTTCTGGAACCAGTGGAAGAGCAGTGCCGTCTGCGACTCAGTAAATCATGAATTGCATGTGTTGATTTTGAATTTTCTAATAATCTTTCCGATCACGTTACCATGGATTTTCAATAGAGTTCGATTCTAACTATTAGTAGTTTATGTACTCAGTAGTGCTGTACATGTATTAAAGTACAAAGTAACTTTAGTTCCGTTTGGAATTAATTTTCCATACATTTATTCGTTAGGGGGGGGGGGGCGAAATAACTAACGTTTGTACCAAACTAAAGTGACCCCTTCTGAACGTTCGGGGTGACATACCTCGACCAAAAACGAAATATTTAGTACGTAACGAAACTACTGAACACTACAGGAATCTTTGAACGTTTGCGGTACTCCACAGTACCAGTCATGTGCTCTTTACCGCCTCCCCGTTGTTGTATTCTAACGTTAACGTTATTCATTGACTGAGCGTTCTTTGCTTTGTACTACACCCTGCTATCATGTTAGGCTATTTCCTACAATATTTTACTGTTTCCATTCGCTTCCATGTAATTGGGCGACACCGCCCGTTTGGTTCTGCGAATTCAAATAAAAATGTACCTACCTAACGAACCTGCTGGTGCCTGGTGGTGGTGGAGTGATCTAACGACGAAAGATTTCGTGAACGAAAATTCTTAGGCCTGGCGCGTTCGTCTTCATCAGCTGTACTGTGTGACGAAAAATAATAATAATTTCGTAGATCTGCTCTCTTTCGGTCGCGTTTGGACCAGGGAGTACTAAAGGGGCTTTTACGACTCCCTGGTTTGGACGAACCTTCGCAGCAACTTTCGTTACTCGAGCCCGGACGGTCCAAATCTTGCGAATTCATATTTTCGTGGTGCGCAACCTCTCTAGTTACATGACTAGCCGTCTGTACGACTACCAATCCACCATGCACCAAGCTAGGTAACGAGATGGCGAAACCGCTCCCCAGACAACGGCTTCAACAAGTTAGTTACATTTGTTGTTGTTGTTGTGACTCCGAGTTTCACGCACCACATGTACAGCGATCATGTTCTCCAGGTCCGGCCGTGTGGAGTGTTTGACATGGGCACCTCGCAGACACGGTTGCCAACTTGCCGCGGTCAGGCCAGACAAGAGCATTGCACACATCCGACACGGCCCTGGGGTGATCTGATCACGTCCGATCCGAGTACTTTATCGTTTATTCGATCACCTCGCTAGGAACACTATCCCTCTCATCATCGTCGACTCCACACGCAGACTCCGTCACGTGACTCAGTGCTCGGAGAGCAACTAGGACAGGACTCTACCTACTACCATGATGCAGGATGCACGCAATCTGCTGTGAGGTAATTACCATCATTTGAGCAGTCCTCGGGTTCCGAGCGCTAGCGCTAGTGAAGTGAGCCACTCAGGCGCCAATCCACGGGTGCCGTCGCTACAGTCACCTTCCAGAACAGGAAGAACTAATGGTGCCAACTATGCTTACATGTATCCAGATCTAGCGCAATGTCATATCGGTGTTCGCTGTGCATTTACTTGAGTGTACTGAATGGAGATACAGTAATCTGATTGAGTGTGCAAAACGACTACGTATGTTGTATGACTGTATTATTGCGTACTGTACTCGCGCCTCAGTTGTCTAGCAAGTGTGAGGTCTCGCGACAGACATCGCGAGTGACAGTCCAGTGCAACGCGCTACCGCCGGCTGCATGACTGCCTATGCGGAGCCAGCACTCCTACGCTGCACGCGGCGCAACACATTCACTTCTTACTGATTCACTGGGTACCGGGTCTGTACTGCGAGTCAAGGACGCGACGCAGTCGCGAGTCGGTGCAGCAGACTTCACTGACTCTGTGGCCAGTGTGAAACATTCCACGACAAGCCATACAACTACTTGCTAGTACAACTACAAGTACAAGTGCATGTACACCGTCACCGCACTACACTCTCCTACTACTAGTACTAGTCCTAGTCTACAGCGCAGACTCACAGGAATGCTGCATGCTGACAGTACACGTATTTTATTGGATCATGTAAATGCACTAATGGCAGTGCAGAGCGCTTCATATCAATCATGTGAACACTTCTTTGCTGTTACTGTTGACTTGCCAGACAGTGCAGCATCTGCAGACAGACAGACTGGAGAAGTGGCTACAGTGCTGAGTACTGAGTCGAGTACAGACTAAGAATAAGATTGAAAACATTAATTTTTGTGGACAAGCCTAGTTCTAGTACTGACTGTCAGTGTCACCAGGTCAAGTCTCATCGCACCGATCAGGAGACTTGATACTGTAGTCTGTATGTATGTATGAGGTTGATACTGTACTATGACTAGTACTAGTAGTAGTGAGGGCCTGAGCTTGGTGATGTGTATGGGGCTAACAAGACCTAGCCTAGGCTAGGGCGCGTTCGAATTGTCACTCTTTGACTGTTCGAGGAGTTTCGTTTTTCTGAAGAGGTGGCCTTATTGGCCTCTTCAGAAAAGCAAAGCTCCTCGAAACTCAACAACCTCACCCGATGGGAGAGTTGGATTAGTTTCGAAGAGTTTGGAATAGCTACGTCACGTTGTGCGTGGAGATGGTCGATCTGATCGGACGTCATTAGGCACCGGCGGATTATGCCGGCATAATTATTGGCATAATTTGGTGGTTGAAAATTTGGAGCATAATTTGGCATCCTTTCGGAGGTAGGAGCATAACTGCATGATTGTTTTACAGTTCTAGTATGTAGGCTACACAATTGTGTACAATGCACCTTATCAGTGCTGGTGGTCTGCATGGTAAAGGGTTCGGAGGTCATGCAGATAGTGTTTTCAATGAAAAGCAGGGTAGAAATCTTGGAAATACATTTTGTGTGCTCGAACTCATCTTCTCAAAGTTCTTTCTCACCCTGATACAGTACATGTAGCAGAAGATGCGGGTGAATCAGCCTTTATC